GTAGGTTCCAAACGAAAGGTCTCCCCACCCTTATTAACCTGCAGGTTATCAATAATCACTGCAATCGCCCGGCGGCATCCGATACAGCAAATGTCGCTTTAGCTGCCCAAACACTTGATAGTTGTTGGATAGTTGATATGTATTTGTTGTTGCCTTTGCATCGGCATTATGTCAATTTGGAATATATTCCATTAAAAACTCGGGAATCCTCCAAAGTACATGGACAGTACGCGATACATATGTATGTATTTATGTATGTATGTATGTATATCTGAATGCCTCTGGCAAACATGTGCGAGAGAGAAAGTGGGATGGCATGGGGAAAGGGATGGAGGGAAAGAGAGGAACAGAGAGAGAGGCCGCTTCGTTTGGCGGGAACAAATAGAAGTGCAACAACACCAAATCACAGCTGCGGGCAGCGCTGCCAACGTCGACTGCAGCGTCAACATAAAAACGCGCCGCCCGTTGGCATCACTCTCCCCTCTTCACTTATCCCTTTCTTCTTGCACACGCTTGCTGCAGCATTTGTTTTGACATTGCTGGCAGTTCTTTGCCATCAGCTGTCTCGCTTGCTCCGTCAATCTGGCAATCAGTTTTTTTTGTGTGTGTGCTCAGTGTTTGCCAGTGCTTGTGTTTGCTATTGCACTCGCTGCGCTTTTTACCACTCTGCATCGAGTGCAAAGTTTTAAATTAGTTTGGAAAAGTGACGAAAATACACTCAGTCAGCGACACTTTTCGCAAATTTTTCGGGTTTGAGGTGACCAAAACAATGGTTTATTGATTTTGTTTGTTCTAAAAGTCAAAAAAAATCGTTGTATGCTAAGTATTGCATTTCATGCCGACATGTTTGTGCATTGACTGTGTCAATTCAATCCAATACACTCATATAACATAATACAAAAAAGAGAAGAAATAAACTAAATAAATAGTAGGTGCAAACTATAAAATTTATAATTTCAAAGTACAATTTTAATTGCATTTTGTAATTTTTTTTCGCAAACATGCTAATAATAATTAGCATAATTTCACTGCAACTTGCACAAAAGTTATTTCCACAGCTTATCCAAGATAAAAGATATTTATTTATACATGTTTCTACAACCATAGCGTATACATAATATTATAATTCATCTACAACTACGTGAAAAACAAATTGATCTCAAAAAAACAAAGGTTTTAAAATATGTGTTATCTGTACCTTTTACCTTACCTAGACACTTGACAAATTGTGTACATTTTACCTTACCTAGGTACCTTTCCCAACACTGGCTATATGATATATAAGTCCGATTCGGCCCGATCTGACTATATACTTCCTGTAATAGTGGTCGGGGCACTCGACTATAGCGTTCCTAAACTAAATAATTGACATAAGAAACTAATTTTCATAAGTTATAATAAAACAATTTTGTATATAAAGTGTCAATAGTGGCAAAAATATAATTATACGGATTGCCGTTTAAAATAAGACGTTTACAAACTTTTAAAAGACTTTGCCAAGACTTTGCAAATATGCGGGTAATGACTAGAGAAGTTCAAGACGTGGCTCAAGTGAAGAAGTAAAATGTTGTTTAAGTACATACTCCATAAAATCCCCAAGTGCGTCCACTATAAGAAATCTCATGAATTGCAAATTTCCTCCCTTGGCAAATCCTGCCTCAATCCTTCTGTTCTCCCGGCCATCAGCCGCAAATCGAATTTTTGGTTGGGTTGGGTTTGCCGCGAGGGCCTTTGAAAGGTGGGTTACGTGTGGCCACCTGTGTCAGAATCGTTTTGCATGGCGACCTACCTTTAATTGTCCTGCTCCTTAGAAATGCGGTCTGGTCCTCCCCTCCCCCACCCCCACTTTCCATCTCAACTTCTGGCTCTTTTGTGTGGATCCGTTTACTTGCGGGCAAGTACGCCTTGGGGCGCAATAAAATGTTTAATAAATTGCAAAAGTGCGCAGAAAGTGGCGGAAAGGAAGCGGATGTCAGTAGGGGAGAAAATTCATGACCAGGAATCGGGGAACACAGATGGCGCTGGTCAGGCGAAACAAGTCAATGACATATCGTAGATACAAACATATTCTAATGAAGCGGAAGAGAGGAAAGCCCAACTGCGGCTCACACACACGTTTTTCGGGCAGAAAGCTAGGGCTGATAGCTGAGGGCGGGACAGGGACGGGGCGGGGCTTGTCACTGGGCGTGGCACTGGCGAGATGTTTGGCTTGCTAGGCACGTAAAATGTATTGAATAATTACATTGGGCCGCCTAACGGCATACGAAATGAGCAGAAATCCGAACTCGAACTCGAATTCAAACTCAAATTCAAACTCAAACTCAAACCGAAGTCAAAGTGGAGTCCGCGACAAGTGGCGGTCCGGACATTGGCCACGCCCCCCCTGTCGAACCGCCCCCCGTCCCACCTGCCTGGTGAACCTATCCTGCCTGTCGAGTAATGAGCGCCACAGGAATTGGGAATTTCGAAACGCAGCAGGAAATAAACTTTTTCGGGTGACTACACCGCTGCGAGGGGAGCAACGATAAAGATTGATGAATCCACAGAAATGCATTTTGCCCGACAATTGTTTTTCGCTGGAACTCCGAAACTCGGAAGGGAGGGAGCAGGCCGATGGCCTTTAAGTAGTGCTAAAGTATCAATCAAAATGCGTGCGCTCGCTCGCAACAATCATGAAATTACATTGAAATTTTAGAATGCCCAGTCAAGGTGAAGAAGCTCCAACGTGAAACCGAATCCCAAGTCTGGCACTGAATGCCTCAAGAGGCATCGGCATCCGTGGAAAGAGCTGAGAAAACGGTTACCAAATCGGACAAAACAAAGCGGGAACACAAAAGATGATTTATCATTACAGGGGGAGGCAGAACGGACGAACTGCTGGACGACTTACAAATTGGATTTCCAGAGGGGATCGGAAAAATTAGCTACGCGAGCACAGGCAAGAAAAGCATGTAGGAATGCTGTAACCGGGTATTTGGATTTATTTATTAGGCATAAGAATACAATAACATCTCAAGTATTAGTCTCACTTAAAAGGTCATAATCGTTGTGTTTTTATTTGTTAAAAGACATTTAAATTGTATATGTTTGGGGTAAAATAAATGGTTTATTAATCACATAGTTGACATTTCTTCGACATTTAATGAAAATTATACAGAGAGATTAGCACAGTTGAAACCCACAACAATTTGGGAGTAAATGTGGATAGCTCAAGTTACCCTACATAATAAACCACTTTGATAAACAAAAAGCTAATATATTTATCTTTGCTTTACCTGAAGCCCCTTGAATATGAAACGCCAGCGAAATTCCTGACAGAAGTTGCACTTCAGTTGGGCACAATGTCAATGTTTAAGTTTTAATTTATTTAAAATCAATTTACGCAAAATCTTGGCCAAATTCTTTTACAGACGAATTCACAAAAAGGTGGCGCAGTTTGAGTAATGTTTTCCGGACGGAATAAATGAGCTTGCGAGGCACTGAAAATCTTGCATAATTAAATTGTCCTGTTGCTGGTTTTAGTCAGTCTGTTCTGTCTTTATCTCTGCCAAAAACTTCAAATCTCCCATTCTGTCTGTCTTAACTTCTCTCAGTTTACCTGCTTTTATTTGCTGCCTTATTGCTTGTGGAAATATTTGTCTAGAGCTCTTTGGCACTAAGAAAAATGATGAAAACTGCTTAATTGGTAAATACACCCAAAATTTTCGACTTATGTTTTCCTTGATTTACCTCTTATGGTAGGACGTATCAAAAAAGGGCCTAGAGAGAAAACTTTCCAAATCATTTTCATTAACTTAAGTATATTAATTATAAAATATATTCTAGTTGTATGTAAATCCGGAGATTACAACATATAGTGTGTCAATTTTTCTGACTGTAACTGCGCATTCTGCTTGTTCACTATGTTCTTGGCAACATGCAACGTGCAACATGCCACACACTGTCAGTGTCTTTAATCCTGATGCAAGTGAAACTAAATGTAGGCCCAGAAGGCAGTCGACAGGTGCTCTGGATCGAGTCTGAGCCCGGTTTTCGGGTCTTGCGGTTCAGGGCCATATCCACACACAACTACTGTGTTTACTTCTAGTTTTATTGTCCCAGCACCCGCTTCTCTTGGGTTAATTAAAGCTGGCCGGGAAGTGGAGAATCTTTGGGTTTCGAAGGGAGGGCGTGTGCCACTCCAGTTTGGGATTAGTCAGTAGGGCAGAAAATCCAAAGCAATTTGATTGGGGTTTTATGCGCATTCCGCACTTTATTCGAGTGGTGACCCCGACATGCTGCGTTCGCAGACAATTCCATTAACATTAAATGTTAATTGACGGCAGAGAGGTCCAAAGATTCCTCGATCTCCAACCGTCGTTCTTCGAATTGGGAAATGGAACCAGTCGAAGACCAGAGCTGGCGATGGGGACCAGCTGATAAATTCATTAAATGTTTCGGGAACAAGAGCCCAGAAAAAACTAAGACGGCCTGAGGACCAGTGTGGGGTAGGCAATGGCAACTGAAATTCAATACCGTTTTTTGGGGGATGACGATGGCGATGGCGATGTGTGCCCGATTGTGATAGTTATTGCTGTTGGTGTTCCCATTATTGATGTTGCCTGGTGTCATTGTTGCTGTTGCCGCTTTGTTACTGCTGCTGGCATGCGGGGTTTCCCCTCGGGCCATCGCAGACTTACAAATGATTTTGATTTCAATTTTTTCCCCTTTTGTTTGCCACCAACTATAACAACGCACCCCTCCACGCGGGAGATACAATCGAGAAGTATTTGACGAGAGAGAGAGGGAAAACTTTTGTGTTACAATTTTCCATTAATGCCACAGAATAGAGGCGGAGTAGTGGGCAGACTTGACTGCGAAGGGAGGAGCTGATGGCCTCCCACTGGGCTGCTCTCAACGAAAGTTAATAAATTCAAAACACTTGCAACTCATTTTTCTGTATTTTGAGTACAAGAGAGCACAGGACGATGAAGGAGTAGAAAAGGAGTAGAAAAAGCCATGCCAAAACCGGTCACCCAGGCACTCCACTTTCCGACTAAACTGGAGAAGTCACAGGAATTTACATATGAATGCCTGGCAAGGAACCGAAGTGAACTGGGGGATCGGATATACCTCCGAGGAGCACTCACACATGATGTGTGGCCATAGACACCACTCACCCACGGATGACTCACATGCACTCCAGCATTTGTCGTCATCGTCGTCGGGCACTTTCAATTGCTAGTGAAGTATTAATGGCAGCATTTGAATAACAATGCAGATGCCAAGTCAGGCTGGCAGATTCTGCAATTCAAATTCAAACGACTGCTATATCTCCAGAGACCCATACCTTCTAGAACAAGTGCCGCAATTAGATCAAATGTGGGGGCTAATTTGAGCTGCGTACGCAGACTGACATCTCAATTGTCCCCGTTGAGATAGGATACTCGATAATCTAATAAACTGAACCAAGCAACATATTTTTCTCAAAAACAAGTTTCACAAATGCAACAATTAAAATACAAACCATTGGAAATTTAAACATAACTTCTCTTTTTCAATAACATCTTCATTTCGCGAAATTAAATTCTCATAGGCAAAAAACCGGAAAAGTAAAGAATTTCCTCTTTTCTATTTCCTATTGGTAATCAAAAAGTGGGTTTTAAACATTTGGGAAAATGCTTTTTAAAACCACCTTTTAGCTTACCTAAAGGACGAAAAAATATCCGACACTGGCTAATTTATTTTTTGAATTCCCCAGATCTGCCCAAGTAATACAAGAAGTACGACTGGAAAATCCCATAGAATATGAGTGCTACGAGCATATTGTAAATGCATTTTCGGTGTCAATGGCGTCACAAGCAAATTGTGAATCGTTAATAATGTCGGCCCTTCGCTTCCTCTGCATTCTGAATAACGCTCTTCAGATGCGGTTTCCAGGAACCTTCGACCGATGCCAGCCCACGTAGCATAATGAGCACAGATTTCAGGGGAATTTCGCCAGCTGAGGAAGAATTCACTAAAGATCAGCTGAATCAGTTTGTGGCTGCCTTTGAAATATGCAAACGTCATTCGGATGCTGTTAATTATGGACTTAACTTATGGAATCTTAGCTGGGAATGTTCCGTTCGTCTAGGACACTGGGTTTTATTGATTAATTTTTCAAAAAATCTATTCGTGTTTGACACTTACACAAAAAAAAGAAAATCAAAATCTTTGTTAATGATATGTCATCTGGCGCAATAAATATCATAGCAATTGTCCTGCTTTTGATTCCAGGTAAGTGATCCCTCATTTGATTTCCTATTCCTTTCGATTGTGATAATCCCGCAGGCATTCTTGGCCAGTGCATCGATTGTAACGCTCACTGGAAGTTCCATTGCAGGACCAACTATACGGGCTACTACTGTGCTCCTGGTGCCCAAATACACCAAAAAGTGACTTCAAATTATACATACCTAAGGACCACAAGCAGCAATGATACCCCTTACGACCGGTGTACGCCCTATCCCTTTCAAATACGTTCGTTACTCAGTCCCTTATTCGGAGCCTAAAGTCCTCTTAACCCGTCTCTTTCGCAGCTTACATAGAGACGTTCTGCTGTCTATATTCACCCAAGGTTGGCTGCCAGTTGGCCCTCAACCCACGTATCTTCCATTACGAGAAGCTACCTGTCAGTAGATGCGGTGACTGCATGGAACACTGTCAATGCTCGAACAAGGGCGCTCCTCCTGTCCAGTCCTGGACGATGGTCCCTCATCTGGGGATCTGCGTCATGCTGATCCAGTGGATGTTCCTCTGAACTCGATTTAAGAAGTTCGGGCTAGAGGTGGTGCGAAACTTATTGGAGCATTGACAGTTGTTTCATGTGGCTGACAAAATATTTCGGAGGTATAAATTGAATACAGGAGGATCGTCTTCTGACGTTCAAATCCCCCAGGTGCCCCAGGCTCGAAACAAGTTTGTCTGAGACGGAAGTACAACCCTCTTATTTGTTTAGATTTAAGTAAATAATGTGAGATGGCTAATAAAAACTACAAATGTCTAAAAAGTAATTGGAGTATTGCAAACTTGATGTCGGCTGTGTGTCCTTTGGTCAATACACTTCAGTGATTGAAGCATTTGACCGACCAGTGCCATATCTGAGGTCCGTTAAATGCCTAGAGTACAGAGACGCGAAGGTACGTGACTGGGACCATTATTGTTTGCTTATCTACACCTAATTGCTTCTGGCTACACTTAATAATATGGCACAGGCATAGCCACAACGTCATCGTCGTCGTCGTCGTCGTCGTCATGGCAAAGTCATCTCCACCCCCATTCAGAGAAGAAGGTGGAGGTCTTGCTTGTTTGTTCGGTTTCCCACTTTGCGTTGGTCTACTCGCCGTCGCTTTTTTTCATTCAGCCCGAGATTTGTTGCACCATAAAAAGGGCTTCTCGAGATTCTTTCCCCGCCTCCCCGCCGCCGTACTACTCCCCAGGTTATTGTGTTCCATCAGAGGCAGTGAGATTCGGAGCCGGGTCCGTGGCTATTTGTTTGCCCGTCGTCCGTTGTGCTGTCTTTCGTGTTGTTTCTTGCCTGCCCTTCTCGTTCCTCTCGTTCTTTTCGCTTTTTCAATTTGGTGGGATGAAAAATTTCATTGGAATTGGTTTTTATTGTGGAGCCCCTTCTGATGGATTTCTTTTTTCGGTAGGTACAAATTGTGTGACGCTAATGGAGCATGCGGGCGGGCGAGGGTCTTCGATTTTCGAGCGAAAGATGTTGGACATCAGACCTGCGACATGGCTCATTAGCTAAGAGATTAAAGTTGCTTTGATAGCATTAAACTATTGAAATACTATCAATTGGATAACAAACTTATTGTTTTGTTTTTAAGGACAATTTAGAAACGATTGGTTCGGAGAACAAAGTCATATAATTTTTCCTATTTTCATTCCATTTCTGGCAGTTTCAAGCACATCTATGTATCTTGAGTGCTAATTGTTACGATTTACAACCCCCTCAATGAAGAGAGGGATGTGGGAAAAGGGGGTACTTTCAATGGCTATCCACAGTTTGTCCAAGTCAAGAGGAGCAGCTGGGGATGCTGGGATGAGCAGTGGAAAATTATTTGTTCTCCTCCACCCCCTCCCCTTTCCCCCTCTTCGGTGTGTCAATGCATTCGTCGCAATGTGACAATTGCTAATTTAGCTGTGGTACCCGCCCTGCCGCCAACTGCATTTGGAGGCGTGGTCCAGGAAGTGCGTGACTCGACTGACTTGCAGTCTATGGGCACATCAATTGAACAGGGGGCGGGAAGGATGGAAGGGGGGGGACTGGGAGATGGGCGGCTGGTCTATGAACAATAATCAGGCTAATAAACATTTCATTCACAGGCCTCATTGAGCAGGGCCAATAATAACAACAACATGATGGCTGTCTGCTTATGCCAAATACTGAATAGGAGCCATGAAAACAAAGGCCCCTTTTGCCTCCGCCCCTGCGGCAAAAACATATGGGGGCTGCCAAGACGATTGCTTTCGCTTTCATCGTTTGGCTGTCATAATACGAGGGCTCCAGACATAAACCGGAAATTATTGTTTTTCCTTTCTTCTCTCGGCCACAAAACTTTTGCTTCGATTTCGATAAGAACTCTGGGGGTGTTTATCCTAATCGTAAGGGGAAAATATGGTTGAAACTTATACTTATCAAGTTGGCAGCCCAGATTATCAGCCCATTTACAAGTGACGACTTCACCTACCTGCAAAAGAAAAGAAAATATGAAGATTAGTTGATTTCTGAAACTTGTGATTCAATAATTATTTGTATTACAAGGCTAACGTAGGGAGGGTTCCCAACTGATGGAAAGCACTCCCTTAAATTAACTTTTCCGTAAACAGACCAGACATCTGCACGTTGCAATCAAAACAAGAACAATAGAACAACCTACAGCCAGTCTCCAAACCATTCAGCTCGATTCCCACCCGCCTTCAATCCCAGAAACTGGTTAATCCCACGCAAGCCCTAACGATTAACCAAGCCGAACCGAACCCAAACCCAAACCCAAATACAAACCCAATTTCAAATCCAGCCAAGCCGAACCGCAATGAAAGTTGCAGCCCAAAAGGAGTCCAGATAAGAACTGCAGATATCAACGTGGCAGGAGCCGCATATATAGCCGCCATAAACGCTGCCAGTTACAGTAAAATCCAGAGAAACGGGAACGGTAACAAAAGGCACGACTAAATGTGGGTACCAAAGGGAAGCAAAAGATCTTTAATTGTAGCAAAAGGATTTCCGATTTGGTTTTCACTTTCATAAAAAATTATACCCCTCAGTTTGCCGTCCCAGGAGAATGGAGATAAAACTAAATAATAAACCTAAGATAAAAAACAGTTCACTGACATTACAATTAGGATGTTAAATGATTTGGTCCTGTATTCTATGCTTTAAATGATTTAATTATATTTAAATTTTCTGAGCAAAGTGGACTTTTTTCTCAAAGGTTTATTTTAACTTGTAGAACAGGCATAATTTAAAACTATTTTAAGCTAAAATTGTCAGTTTTTATTATATACAAAACATTTTTGGAATCAAATTGTAAAACTCTTTTCATTTCGTAGCTTTCTTTTTAAATAATATATGGATGATTAATATTTGTTAGATTGAGAAACATATTGTTTGCCTTTAATGAAAAGTTAATTTCACAGCGCAAAAGGAATTGAACTCATTAACCATGGACACAAAAAAAGGGCAATGGGCAGCAGGAAGTTTAAAGGGTTAGAGGCCAGTCAGAAAGTCATCTCGAGGGTACGCTATTCGATGGGAAATCCAAAAGCGGACAGCCAAATCAAATAAGCATATAGATGGGATTAAAGTGTACAATACCGACACACAACAGCCGAGGCGTATTAAATAAAGTTAAAACGAAAAAGCAAGGGCAACGTTTTTAATACCCTTCGACAGGTCTGAGGATTTTATTTATAGAAGCAACTGGAATTAAAACGTCTATCATTTAACAAAATGTGTTAATTTAATTTATTTAATTAATTTAATGTGAAAGAGTGCTGAAAAAACTATGTTCTTAAATATTTATATGTTTCAAAGTTGGTAGTTTAAAAAGTTAAAAGTACCCTTCGAGGAAGGGCAACCAAACTTGCATATCCAATGAGCGGAAGGGCGGAAGTGGCAAATGCAATAAAAAGGAGGCGGGAGCACCACGCCAACTGTCAAAACTCCCACGATGTCCGAATCTGCACTGGGCAAAACTCGCACACTGAAAGACGGGGCGTGCAACCCCTTGAGTGAGTGAAACAGAGGCTAACCCCGGCGAACGAACGGCGGTCGATTGGTTTGCAACAATAGCAACATCTGAAGGGTTAGCACGTGGTCCACATCCAGCGGCACATCCACTTCCACGTTCGTGTCGGGGTTCAGATGAGGGGTGCTCCTGATCCAGGTCCTGCTTGGGCATTTTGTATATTCAATTAGCGCCCGCTTCCATGTCGAACACTTCCGTTAGTTGGGGCTCTGCGTCGGCTGCATTGGCTGCATTGGGTGCTTTTGGGTTTTAGGTTTTGGGGTGGAGCTCCTGCAACCCACTTGTTTGCATTTCTAATGCAATTTGCGGCTGCAACGCTTTTGTTGCCCGCCACTGCCCTGCGCCCAAATTGTGTGGCGTGTCGTGTCCATTAGCACCTCAACGTTCATAATACACATTCATTAATGCCCATCACGACCCCCGCATCAATGCCCCACCGGCGAGCCTGGAACACGTGGCCGCCAAGCGAGGGTTTAATTAACCTCCAATGGGAGCTACCTTATCCGGAGTCAATCGCTTTAACTGCCCGGTGTGGCAGATACACATTTTCACCCATCCAAACCCATTTCTAGCTTATCCTTCAGCCGGATGCCGTAGCTCTTTGAGTCACCGCAAAATGTTCTCGTTCATTAAGCTTTTGGGCATTTCGAAAGGCATAGTGCCAGCCCCAAGTCAAACTTGATTGACTATTGTAATTGTCGTCGTCCACCCCCTCGGCATCCTTCCAAAAACCCGTAATTCAACCCAGAGATTGAGACTAGGACAGTCTGGTGGACATGCTCCGTTTTTGTCTTACACATTAGTTAAAGCTTGCGGCAAGAGCAACAACAAACAACAAACAACTAACAAACACAACAAAACACTTAAGCGAAACACTTTTAATTTCACAGTACGATGGGGATGTTTAAACCCTTTGTGGGTTAGTTGGGGGCGAACTTGAAACTGATGCCCGGCACGTGGACGTGAGAAGAACATGACGCCCTCGGAAAGCAGACACAAAAGACAGACAGCCGAAAAACGGGCACAAGCACAAGCACAAGACTGTGTATTCCGCACTATTTAAATGCGATTTTCAGGCTGTGATGAACCGGGGGTAGTCGAAATTAAGGTGGGGAGGTGAGGAGGTGGGGAGGGCACCCTGAGCCGTCGGCACGCGCACAAATTAGTGAGCAGCAGATATGAAAGACTGGGCTCGTGCCATTCACTCACCCAGTCACTCGCATTCCCGACAAAAACAACAACAACAACAACAACAATGGGTTTGCGTATAATCAAAAATTAACATAACAATACTGTGCGCTGAGGCAACAACAACAACAACAACTACAAAAGGAGAAAGAAACACAGGCAATGTGTACTGGTGTACTGGCGGTTCAGAAATAAAAGAATACACGAATATCGAGATGAATTCGCATGGCAAGAACTTAAAGCTAAGACTTCGATTCGACTGGGCCCATAATGAAAGGGTTGGCCCAGGCAATGGGCATGCGATGCGATCAGAGCAGGGGTCTCGT